AGTCCATATGGAACACTGCTTCCTATATCGCTATAAATAAAGATTTCGAGTACCAGGTACGTCATGGCATTCTAGCATATTCACTATATACTTTTTCTTTGACTCACTTACTACTTCAACATCGGAGTACCTTTGTCTGCCTTCAGCCATCGGTTCCTCCTAGATTTTCTCTTGTCTTGCAAGTTTAGCAAAACTTCCCCCCGCCATCATATTTGTTCGTACAAGGTGGTAATCCTTTGCATGAATTTTTCCCTGCACAGGAATATTTTGAAATCAAGTGGGCAGCAATAATAAGAATCAACCTATAAAACATATGTTCTCTTTGAAGATATGGTATCACATGGATTGTAGTGTTGAACTGATTATAATCCTTAAGCTAATTGGAATCCTTGAATTCGACCAAGGAAGACCAGCGTCCCAGTGCCCAGCGGACCTTTCATGCAAGCACCCTATATCTCCAACTTTGCGCCTCTCTCATGAATTGCCAGAAGCTTGGCCTCATTCTATCTCTACTCTCATGCAAGCAACGTCAATCTCCAGCTTAGTGGCTTTCTCGTTAGTTTCCAAAAGTTTGACCTCATTCTGTCTCTATTCTTATGCAAGCAGCCTCAATCTCCAATTTAGTGGCTCTATTGCGAGTCGCCAAAAGATTGGCCTCATTCTGTCTCAGCTATCATGCAAACGGCCTCAATCTCCAACTTAGCGGCTTTCTCGCGAGTTGCCAAAAGTTTGGCCTCATTCTGCCTCTGTTGTCACGCAAGCAGTGTCAATATCTAGTTTAGCGACTCTCTCGCGAGTTGCCAAAAGTTTGACCTCATTCTACTTCTGCTCTCACGCAAGCAACTTCAATCTCCAGCTTAGCAGCTCTCTTATGAGTCGCCAAAAGATTAGCCTCAATTTGTCTCTGCTCTCACGCAGGCAGCCTTAGTCACTAGCTTAGCGACTCTCTTGTGAGTCGTCAAAATTTTGACCTCATTCTGCCTCTACTCTCATGCAGGCAACCTCAGTCACCAGCTTAGCGACTCTCTCATGAGTCACCAAAAGCTTGGTCTAATCCTATTTCTACTCTGAAACAACCTTAGTCTCCTAGAAGCTCGATCTAACTCTGTCTATGCTTACATGCAAGCATCCTCATTATCCAGAAGCTCGGCCTTAAAAGTTGTTGCTCTCTCATGAGCCAACCTCAACTGTAGCCTGGTGCCCAGATCTCTATTCTGCCAAAGCTCTCGACATCTCATCAAGATTGAGTGTCCTCAAAAATATAGAAAAGTTGCAACTATCTGCAAATATATGAAAGCCAAAATGTTAGTATGACCAAGCATACAGAAGACAGGGTTCCATATAACAAAGGGGTACCATAGCAAAACCCCTTTATCGCGGTATTGATGATACCCTCAAGATCCCGAGAACTGATATCTCTAATATCCAAGGGTGTCTCAAACCTCCAAAACCTCTCTTTAGCAAAAATTCACATCTTACAGCATCACCAGGGGCGTTGCTAGAAGTAGGATAATTATGTAAAGCGCTAGGGGCATCAAACCTCACCTTTCGAGAATATAGTACGATTGTCAGACCTCAGTTGGGAAACACTGGGGGCATCAGATCTCACCCCTTCCAGGAGGAGGGGAAGTCACTATTCTAGTGACATAAAGAGTCTTTATAATTGATCCATCAACCACGGGATCACCTATGAAAGAGAGAATTTTCATAAACCAAAAACATCATCAATTTGCCTGGGTCCTCCATGGTGCCGCTTATGGCACCACCCAGCCTCACGCCTTCTCCGGTGTCGCCCAGGTTTATATCCATGGTGCTACCCAAACTTCTCTCCCTTTCCAAGGCGCCATTCGCCAAAACATCTTTATCCCTACGTGCCAAAACGTCCATGTTTCTCTCCATCTTCTCTCCAACAATGACACTACCAAATAGAAAAATAAGAATCAAAAAATGCAATGCAATAGAAAGTTGAAGAAGCCACCATATGAGACAAGATATCTGATCTACCCAAATGAAAGAGCTTATTTATGCCCTCAACCCCTATCATTACTAGGGCTTAGGGTAAATGATGAGTCTAGATTTAGACCAAGCCTGAATCCAATTCTTAGGTAAAGCAAAATTAGTTACAAAGCAGGTCAAGCTCAGCTCATAGATTCAGCCTAGTCCAGAAGTCTAAGAGATCCAGGAGAATCAATGCACGTAGAAAGTAATTACTGGAATAACCACTACGCAAAGATCGAGACTATCTTTTATTGTCCCTATTCTTAGCTATAGTTATTCTCTTCGAAGGACTAGTCACCTATTCCTTCACCCTACCATATCAACTAAAGCTGTGTCCTTATAAATTGTAAGTCCTTTACACATATTTTACACACCTCACCTTGAGAGATCTCACATACCTCATCTTGAGCGTACTATTACTCTATCTATCCTACTACCTCGACTACTTTATCAATAAAGTCCTTCAACCAGTGTTGTCGTCTTCAAAGTGGAGTAAGTCACCCTAACCGAATCACTCTATATCTGTGTGTTACCTATGCTGATCTCACCTTTATATTTACTGCATCTATTACCTATATTAATTACTCGACAAAGTGGTGCATAGATTCACTTTTCTACATCATCAAAACTCATACTACTTAATATTATTTTCAGTGGTTCTTAAACATAAGATAAAATTTTAAGTAGCAAGTCACCTTATTATCACTTAATGCTAAAAAATGTTGTAAGTAAGAAATTTATAAATTTTTCATAACAAACAAATATGCCCTTAATGTATTTTATACTCGTAACTTTTTAATTCCCACCATTATTATGTCATCGCAACCACCACCAACACCACTATTGTGACACCACTACCGTTGTTATCACCATTGTGTCGTTGCCACCCCCATCACCATTGTGTTGTCACTATCATCACCACCACCATTATTATCATTGTACTACCGCCACCCCCACCCACTGTTATGAATAAGGTAGGAATAAGATAGTTGCAGTGAGATGGTTATAAAAAATACTACAATTAAAATAATAATAATTCTTAGACTTTAACTCTTTATATTTGTTAAACAGTTTTATTCAATTATATTTACATCCCAAAATAGCAAGATCAAAAGGGTGACACGTGGAAAGATCTGACTATCACAAATGAGTCTATGAGCGAATGATAGAACATTTAAAGAAATAGGATTTTTAGAATCCCAAGAAACAAGAAAACATGACATCATGAGCCACCAATTGGAGAGTGTTCAACTCATATTCACGTATTTTGAGGGACAAGACCATAATCACATTAGTTGTTAAAAAAATAGATTGACGGTTGAAGACCATCTCTATAAATAATAGAGGCTACGCCACTGAGAAGGAATCCATGATCAATCACACAAATTTTTCACTGGGCAAAACCTACCTTATATTTATCTCTTGCTTCCGAGCAATTTTATTTTTATTGTAATCATCTATCCAATGATCTTTTACTGCTTTTATTTAATGATAAATTCAATGTTTATTTCGTCTTCAAATTTAGTCTACTTAATACTTTACAGTCTCGCTGTTTCTCTACGGTGTAGTCCATACACTTTTTTCTATAAAATTATTTAAAGTTTTTAAATCATAAGGCATAAAAAAAAATTTAGATGCAATCTTACTTTTCGTTTTAATCGCTCGAACAATCATAATTTTAAAATTCCACAACGATTCAAATAGATAAGATCGTATGTTTTTGAATTTAAATTCATTCTAACTTTGACATTCCTACAATTCAATAATATGCCAAAACAAATTTGATTTTTAAATTTAGTGAAAAAAATTTAGAATCCAATACTTAAAATTTATTAGTATTCAATTTTTAGTATTCACGTTTCAGTTTTATAAATTAAAAATTCAAGTGCGCATGTGATCTCTGTTGAATTATGTCCCTCACACGGTGCACGGTGTGCGTGACTGAGAACACGGTAGAGGTGGGGAGGTCTTGTGACGCAAATAGCGACAGAGACGGGGAGATTTAGAGAGGAGCAATTGACCTTATTCTTATTTTTATTTGAGGATGTTATTTAGAGACTTATCCAAATAACGTCGAACTAACATTTCCATTAGAGAGATGTTGAAATAGTGAGAGAGAGTGGGCAGCGGGCAAGTGGCAGGCAGACTGATGGAGGGGGCTGGCAGGGAGGTGGATGGGCTAGGTCTGGAGATGGGTAGTTGTCCTGCAGGCGGGGACTGGCAGTGGAGGGGCGGGGCAGAGGCTGGTGGAGGAGGAGGTGGTGGTGTCCACTGTGGTGGGTGATAGAGGGTCTGAGACTTGTCCAATCTTGGGAATTAGAAACAGAGGAAGGAAAGAAAGGCTTGGAAAGTGACAATAACCACGAGCAAGGCCAAGTCTACGCAGCAAATCTTCCTCCAAATCCACCATTACTCACAGCCACACAGGTGAAGTCAAAAGCTAACCGACAAAACACACGTACGTAATCTATGCCACCACAAATTTCTTTTTTGTCGTCCTGTCTTTTGTCACACAAATTTCCACCCATAAACTCATCACCTAATTGGTGCCACATGTGTTTACTTACGTGTGTATCAATTTTCAATCATATCAGAAAACTTAGAAGTCTGTAGGTTCGAGAGACTCCACATTCAACTTCTACTTTGCACTCTGCACCCATCTTCATCCTTTGTTTATGTATTGCCCTGAACAGAAAGCTGTTATTTAATATGGCTAGAGTGGTTTAGCCTTCCAGGGACTCGCTTATTTCTTATACTGAATATAATTGACACACAGATTACACACACCAATTATGTTTCTGGGTTTCTTTGAACTTCCATTGTTGCATCCATCTTTGTTACTTGTTCATCTATTCTGAGGGGCATAGAGCTGTCATTGGTTTTAGCGATAGTGGTTTTGTTGATACTGGTTCATATCCGTTTTACACAGTTTTGTTCATCACTTGTTCCGAAGTTCTGAATTTTGTAAAGGTTGTATCTTGGAAGCCAGCGCTAAATAAAACATGGCTTCTGTTGTTACAAATTTATGGGTGTCACCTTATTTTGCTTTAAATAATGAGTGTAAGTCTCAGTCACGAGTTCAAGTCCAAGCTAGGAGTTTAGGTAGGGGGGATTCAGCTGTGTTGTCTTCAGATTCTGTGGAAGTTAATGGTAGTTCTTCTGTTGGGGAGAAGATAAAAATTGAGTCTCTAGCTGAAGTGGGTGACAGGCGGTTGGGTTCTGCTGCTGAGCAGAAGATGATTGGGGAGGATGTTGCTTTAGAAAAATTGGAGGTGTTATGGGATGATGGGTATGGGACTCAGACTGTTAAGGATTACCTTGATTTAGCAAAGGAGATGATTAAGCCTGATGGTGGGCCGGCCCGTTGGTTTTGCCCAATCTCCTGTGGGTGCCCTTTAAAAGGTTCACCTGTTCTTCTGTTTTTGCCCGGTAATCAACTGATGCACTGGTTCTAAGTGTCTAAGTGGTTTAGGCTTTTTGATTGCTGCATAAATGACTTATGTAAATGATTCGATTTTGCTATTCATGTTTCTTGGTTTTTAAGAGGTGCTTCTTTCTGAGGATATCATAGTTTTTTTATAGAATGAATATATATGAAATTCCAGGTTTTTGGATATTTAATGACAACAATAGTAAAAGTTTGCGTTATTGATGCAAGCAGGGCTTGGTGGTCATGGATTGGGCCTCATGTTGCACCACAAAGCTCTTGGAAAGTGAGTACGCGGTGGTTGAATTGCAATGCTCTAGTTTATGGAACATGATTTCCTATTATTATAACTTTTGTTTTTAGATAATTAGTAATTAAAATCTTAGATAAGCAGAACGTATTATGTCTAGCGATTTGTACGAGTGTCTGAACATAAAATCAATATTGACATGTTTCCTAAAGTTTCAATTTCTTTGGTTTCTTCGAAGATATTTTTGTTAAATGTTTACAAATCAGTTTGCTGCTCAACACTGCTGGGGAGCTAAGGAGTTCATTATTCTTTGGTTGATTGTACATTTAGTCTTTTGTTTTGTCATCAGTCTTTACACCACATGTACATCTGCTGTGTGCATCTTTGTTACTTTCTCAAGGTTATTTTTACTATTCATGGAAAGAAAAGAATTCCAAGGTAATTCCAAGGTTGGAAGTTATGTCTACGGCGTCTTCATTTCATAAATTGCTGACATCACATTGCCACCATCTTAAAGAATAGTTATTAAGAAAACAAATAGAGCCTAAATGGATCAAAAGCAAACACTGAACAGTTAGAAATCAAATTATTTCAATTCGGTGCATTTCATATGCTGCTTCAATCCCATTTTCACATCCTTGTCATGTTGTTCCTTTTACAAATCAACTTGTTCCACCGTAGTGCTATTTACATTAGTTATTCTTGTTTCCATGCAGTAATTATACAATTGGAAGGTGAAACAAATAATAGTGTGGTGGGGAAATACTCAAAAATTCATTGACAGTGTGGTATTGGGTGGGAAATGTTGAGCGGATTAAATTGTCGATGGCCATGAGCTAATTACCCATGTACATATGTGTTGAGAATATCATTTAGTGTTAAATGATATATTAACATGTTAATGGGATGAACTTAGTTATTAATGGGTTAGATATAGAATGTCGTGAGTAGAATAGTTGAGGCTTACTCCTTAATGGGGTGAATATATAATTGAGTCGGCGTTGTCACCGGTGGGGTGAATATAGCAGGGTGGGTTTAATAGTTTTATATTAGGGACTTTTAATGGGGGTTGGAAATAGCCCCACCCTTTGGTGTTAGGTTTGATTGTACAAATGACATTTGCTTGTGAAAATTCCAACTTGAACTTATCAGTGGTATATTTTCTCTGCATTCTTGTTACTAAACATGTGCGTGGATAAGTTTTCTAATAAAAGAAATGAACCGTGTCCTGTATCTATTCAATAGAACAATGTAATTATATAATTTATTTCTTTTACGCATATGTATTTACATGCAAAAAAAAAAGTGCATTGCCAAGGCTTAGTGTGTGCTTGTATAAGTAATATTTTTAATTTTTTTTTGCACACGTTAATTTTGTCGAGAGCTATACTATAATCTCTAGAGGAGCTAGTGAAATAAGTCTCCTAGATCTATTTTATGTCCTTTTTTAAGATGTTGTGTGGGGGTGGCAAAGAAGATTGAAGGGATAATGAGATATTTTTTATGGGAAGAAAGGTATGAGGGTAAGAAGGATCATGTGGTTAGTTGGGAGGTAGTGTCTTGGTTTAAAAGGTGGAATTTTTGTGGCCTTGAGGCCCTTGACTTGAAAATGGCTTTGGAGATTTCTTGGAGCAGAATTCATTATGGCTGCAAACAAGTGGGTGGGATGTTAATGGTTGTGATAGGGGAAATTAATGAAACCATATGATACTCATTTTTCAAGGATTACCTTGTTTTTCTCAAAAGTTCAAGTTTATCATTACTAATGGGTTGAGAGTTTGATTTTGTGGGGATATTTGGATTGGGAAGTCGTCATTGTGAAGCTTGTTCCCTCGTCTTTTTTGACCATATTGCTATCATGAATATTGTGTTTGTCTTTTTGTCCAGGTTGGACTCCTTTCCACATGCTAGGAATTTTGGATTTTGTAGAAATCTTAATGATAAAATAGGGTTTTTTTAGAAATTCTATTGTACTTGGTATTGAAGATTTGGAAAGTTAAGGTACCTTTGAAAGTGCAAGTTTGTGTAAGAGTAATTGTTCATGGGAAGATTAAGAACTATGATATGCTTTAAAGGAGAAGGCCTTAACACAAATCTTTGTCCACAATGATGTCATGTGTAGAGCAAGTTGTGAAGGTGTGATCCATTTGTTCTTACATTGTATATATGAAATAAGTTGTTTGAGATGGTTGACCATTGTTGGGTGGCCCTGCAATCTCTTTCATCTATGTTTGCGGGGATTTTCAAGGTTTGAGAGGAAGTGGATGGAGTATTACCCTTTGGCAGTGTACGATTGTTGCAATTGTTTGGGTTATTTGTGAAAAGCTTAGATCAAACTTGCAAAGACAAAAAGTAATGCAATCAACTTATGAAGAAACAAAAAGTTCAATAAGGAGGAGAATCAGAGTTAGATCAAGGTAAAATATTAGCTTAAACATCTACACTCAATCCCAAAGAGAGGGAGAGAAGACTGGCTGCTGTAGAAAAAGCAGCAAATATGTTAATATTATTCCAAAATCGCAAGGGTTGCCCTAATGAAAGAGTCAATATCAGCCCTTTATTTAGAACTAATCAAAGGAATATATATCTGTCCAGCAGAAATAACCAAACTACCACTAAAAAGTCACACGACTCATTTAAAAGTCACATGACTTTAAAAGAAAATAAAACATAACGACCGAAATACCCTTATTTAAAAACTTAAATGTCTATCTAATCAAAAGAAACAAATGTTAGTCACAAATAAAGACTCAGAACCATCACAGGTTGCTGCCTCTGGTATGCTGTCTAAACTTGGTCTTCTTTGGATGTTCTAGAGCTTGCAAAAGAGACTTCTCCAGCACGCATTGCATAAAAAAGAAATACATAGAAGAAGAAAAAGAAAAAGAGAAAGTGAAAGAGAAAGGGAAAGAGAAAAGAAGTTTGCTACTCTGATATTCCATAATAATAAAAACTAGTACAACAAACACACTAGGTAAACCCCTACTACAAGAAACAGACTAGAATACCCTGTTAGAGTTCATATTTTTATATTTTGAGTGTTGAATGGTAGGATTGTAATTCTCATAATATAAGATTAGTATAAATAAGAGTGTAGGGTAATGTAGCCTACACACAAATTATTCTCATCTTCTCTCACTCTCTTCTTCTCCCATTCTCCTAACATAATATTGTAGTCTTCATTTTTTAACTTGGTATTAGAGTATTGATTCTAGGTTTTTTTTCCCCTGATGAACAGTGTAGTGTGAACAGTAACTGACAAATACTGTCATTTGAACAATAACAGAATGAACAGTACCCTATAAACAGTAACTTCATAAAACATTGACCGCCTGATAAATAGTGATTCGCGATGAAAAACAGACGCGTGTCCTTGTTTGGTTGTTTTGTGATCTGTTGTTGTAGATGGTGGATTCCGTTGTAGTTATTCATCAGAATTGCAATTAGTAATCTCAGCCATTTGTTGCTTGTTTTGGATATGATTTTATGATTTTTTTTTTTGTGTCGGATCATTGTTTCGTTGGTGATTTCTTTTGGGAAAGTTTCAATACAAACTAGATAGGTGCGATTAGAATCCAAGAATTTGTGATGCCTAGAGGTTTGCTTCTGGTTCGACTTGATTTTTGTGCGTTTTTTATGTTTGACTACTATTTGGCCTTGAACAGTGATCACAGCTACTCTAGGTTGCTTCAGTGTGTTGCTAGGTTCTTGGTTGTGGTTAAGGATTTGTGGTGCATTTGCTTCGACGCACTACTTTGCTAAGTTTGCTCCTATTATTTGTTACTATTTGGTTGTGAACTGAATTTCTAAAGTCTCTGATTTGGATTTGGGTATTTTCTTGGTACTTTCTACATTAGTTTGTGTGATTGCTTACACTTGGTGGATTAGTGGGTTGTTTGCAGTTTAGTTTTTTTTTTTTTTGGTTCGACATTACATAATTACTTGTGGGTTTCTTGATGATGACTTTAAATGATAATAATGGTGGTGTTCGTGGTGGCGATCATGATTCGTTCCATAATGCTAGTCGTGGTGGACTATGAACAGGACATAATGGAAATGGTTGTCGTTTTGGTCGTGGTCATCACTCTGAGTGGAAGTGTAATTAAATTGGTCGCATGGGACGTACGGAGAATTATTGTTGGAATTAGTATGGAAGACAAACATATGCTAATTAGGCTTGTAATGACATTTCAGGTTCTCTAGTACATTAGACTTCTACCAATGGTCTAGTTGCATCTACTATTGATTCTCATGATGGTCTTTCTTTTCAACTTCGTTAGCTCATGTAGCAGTTATTTTTACTTTCTACACATTTATCTATTCCTACTATCGGTCTTGCTAATGGAGGTAACTATGCTCTTGGATCATTGATTCAGGAGCTAGTGGTCATAAGTTTGGTATTTCTTCCCTATTCTTTAATTTTTGTTCGTTTAACTCACGTATTGTGTTAGTTGAAGGTTTTTTTTGACCAATATATGGGAGTGGTGATCTTTGTCGTACTTCGTCTATGCCATTAACCTCTAGTTTGTTTGTACCTAATTTTTTATTTAACTTGTTATTTGTAAGTTAGTTAACTAAGTCCTTATAGTATTCAGTAACGTTTTCTCCATCTTCTTGTGTTTTTTAGGACTTGAAGGCGACGAAGATGACTGGTTTGGGGTATGAACACAGTGGCCTTTACTATTTAGATCCTGGTGGTTCTGTTCCCGCCTTGAGTGCTACATTGTCTCGTTTTTAGTGGCACTTCTGATTGGGTCATCTCTCCTTGCAAAAGTTGCGTCAAGTTATTCCTGATTTGAGTTCTTCTTTTGTATTAGAATGTGAGGCCTATTCATTAAGGGACTATAACTGCATTTCTTTTCCTCCTAGTTCTTCAATTCGTCAATCTAGTCCTTTTCATGTTGTTCATACTCATACATACATTCAGTCAAAAGTATGTCTGATTTTCAGTATTTTGTAATTTGTTGATATCTCTCATATAACTTGGTTATGTCTTATGAAAGAATGAGTTGAATTACGTAGAGTATTTAACATTTTTTT